ATTACGGTGTGGAAATGTATGGATTTCCAGATTTTGTAGTGAGTTCACTTTAAACATTTTCCAGATCATTTTTTCTTATTCATTTTAGAATTTACAGCATGTACCAACTAAAAAAGCTCATTACGATGCTTGGAGCAGTACTACCGGTAGCAGTAGCGGATGTAGCAGTAGCTGTAGTCCAGATCATCTTGAAGAACTTCATGTGGTAAGTGGCCCTCCACACTTGACTCCATTCCTCAAATATTCGAAAAGAGTCCATAGCCTCATTTGTCACGAGCTGTGACGAGCTCAAGTATGCTGTCTGGGCCTGCCTGACCTGTTGTTATTCAATATCTCTAGAACATCTTTTTGATCCAGCCGATTCGTTCGGCGATATCTTGGGAGAGCAACTTTTGTAAATAAACAGAGAGGCTCGTTTTTGAATGTGTATGTAGTTGTTTACAGGATATTCCTAATTCGTCAACAGCATCGGTCGCTTCAACAAGTACACCTTCACATTCGTCGCCTGAAAATGTTGCAAATGCTCGTGCTCCGGTACCGACATTTACAGATCTAAAGCCAAGTAAGGAGACTTGGACATCTCACAATTTGGTTTCAGAATCAGTGGTCTGTTTTTCAGTATCACCAAAAGACAACACTTCTACCCTGTCCAATGCTCTGGCACAAGCTTCTGAAGTCCTGGCCAATACTGGACCAGGATCAGAATTGCTTAACTTTGCTTCAACTCCACCTCAACCTTACCAGCCCGTAACTACACCAACCGGGGATACAATAGTGGTCCCACTTGCTCCAAAGCCGATCTATCCAAATTCGAACATTCCTGCGGCTGTTCAAAGTAGCAGCCATCCAAGGATCACCAATGATGCTCGATTTTCGAGGTTTGTTGAATTTTTTGGTAGATAAGGTCCGTGTGGAGGAGGGGTAATTCACCTTCTTAGGGAGGATTGGAGAGCAAGTACTGGAAAATTTCGAAACAATCGATTTTGCTCAGATTCTGCGTAATTTATTTCGCATGCTTATCATGAATAACACGTTTATTGCGCGAGATAGTGCATCTATGAAGTTACGGTAGGGATACGGTAGGTGGGTCGAAATCTCAGATCTGCACAAAACTTCTGTTAGAGGGTTTTTTTATGTTTTTCTATTATGGTCTCAGCTTTTCGTCAAGAAACGTCTCCTTGTTAGGTGATTTGGGTGGCGCACTCTTCGTAACGAAATCTGGAAAGGGGTCTAAGAGGGACTAATAGTATAATCGTAATCAGCATACTGAGGAGAAACTAAACAAAGTTTCAAATAATTTTATGACCATCCGCCTTACCGTATACCCACCGTATCCACTAAAAAGGCAAAGTCCATAAAATTCATTGGGTCAACTAATGTGGAACTTTCTATTGCTCAAAAATGATTGTGTAGAGCTCACTGCGAAATTTTTCAAGAAGTTTACCCAACTACTTTTTTAGCTACGCCGAATTTGATGAAGCCTTTGAGGCGTGGAAACGCGAACGCCTTCATCCGTTCCGTGTCGCTTCGTCAGAAACTCTTCGCGAACCTGACGGCACCATTAATCATCGTTTCAAGTACCGCTACGTCGTCTTTCATTGTGCACACTATGGCGAGCCCAGAATGCGAGGTAAGCTCTAACCCTACAGTTCTT